ATCATGCGAAAATTTGGTTTAAAAATAGATTTTTTTTAATATAACTTTCATTTAACGAAAAACGAAGGCCTAAATGAAAAAAAGAAACAATTTAAAAGTTTCGCTTATGTCTTGACAAGGTATCAAAGCAAACCCCATATTTTTTGCTTTTAAACTAATAAAGATATATCAATAAACAATTAGCGATGTAATGGTTTTTGCGCGCGCTGGCCGACTGCCGCCGCTGCGCCGAGATTTCCTATACCCTTGTATATATGACGTCATGGTGTGGCAAATGTAGCATTTTAATTCGATTTGGGCTCCCTTATATAGGATAACAGAAACATTTTCAATGTTAATATAGAGTTCTATAGGATGTCCCCAAAAACAGATACACATGAAAATTTTGTTTTTTTTTTTGTAATGGAACACCATATAGATTAATTTATTTTGGATTCTAGGAGAAAAATAAATGTGAGTTTTATTAAAGAAGTATTTTATTAAAATGTAAGGTTTTTGATATATTCAACATTTTCTAAAAATGAAGAACAATTCTTGAATTTCAATAAAAGCTACCTAAATTGGAATTTATCCGGTTTAGCCTAACATGTACCTTTAATCAGATTAAAGCTTTATCCAAAAAGTCATACAGGGTGAGCTAAAATTTTTATTGAATATTGGTCGCATTTAAAGGCAAGTTACTCTTATTTTAAATGAAACACCCAGACACAATGACAAATTCATGTCTCTACAAAATATTATTAAGGTTTCCTATCCCTCAAACAAAGATTTTTCTAAATATTTCACTTTCAATTAGATTTAGTGTGAGTAGATCTTGATTATTTGATAAAATCTTGGTGGCTGTGATATGTCTGATATTACTTCAACATATCTGTCAAATTAGTTCAACTTGAACAAATAGCTATCATTTTTTTGTCAGTCAAAACAAAAGACACTCTCAGAAATTTGCTAAAAGAAGAAACTTTTTTTGCATTTTGCCGATTAAAAGAACAATTAAATGCTCCAGATTTAGCCAGTCTGGAATTTTTTATGGGGATATGTTAAAAACAGCGTTTAAAAAACTTGACCAACTATTGTAGATAACATGAGGGAAATTATTGTGGCTGAAGTAGAACTCTACATATGCCTTTTAACATAAAAAGATCTTTTGAATAGAAAATGAATCATTTTATGCACTGAACAACCCAAGTAGCAAAAAGAAATTCTAAAAGGATTGAATTATTTTATAACAGTCGAATAGCGTTGTCTTAAGGACTGCTTGATTTTATTAAGCGTTTGGTTTCGACCATTCTGCTTTTTAATAAAAGTTGTTATATTAACTATTTTCTAGTGGTTTTTACAACGTATCCTATAAGGCATTAAACGATAATTCCTTTTAGTGTGATATAACACTTAATAAGACAATGCTATATGATAACAAACATATTATTTTATTATACTTTTATACCCATCATGTAAGAGTTCTATAATATTCATATAACTAGTAGTCACATGATCATATAATAGTTACTTAAACTTGTCTTATTAAAGTTGTATTACGTTGTATGATAGAATGTTTTATTGCGTTAAACTACGATGCTGTATACAACACCAGTTATATAGCCTTATATGATAAAATTGTGATTAACAAAATAAATTCGCTGTAATATCTGTATTATAGAACTGGTAATGTATTATAGAACTGGTAATGTAACTTAAAATATAACCTCATTTTAAATTAAATGGTATACCTAGTTATTTATTTTGTTATTGTTGTTGTTGCAAAAGTAATATCTACGTACGAGTTTAATCAATCACAGCTATTATGAATTCTGGACAAAGTGGGAAAAAAGTTAACAAACGCAGTGGTAGTTATAAAGAGCATGTAAGAAAAAAACTCCTAGAAATTACGGCAAATAATCCCGAGAATTCCCTGGGTTCTCAAAAGCCAAAATATCTCGGGTTGTCTGGCTTCTTCAAAACATTGTTGCCACGTTGATGTAAAAGTTTTACTGTAGTAATGTTTGTATTGTTTTATTGTTGTTTTTCTAAGTCCTTAGGTTGCCACTCACTCGTCGGGCATGCATGAAATGCATTGCGTGCATGAATCCATGAAAATCTGATCATGTTTGTTAGTATAAATACTAATCAAATGAGATTTGGCAACATCTATTTGTCACAAATCTCAATATGTCCAAAATAGTTCTATAGTGCCTGGAAATTCTGCGTAATGATAGATATTTATCCTATACCGTTTTATTTTACAACAAAGACTTATTTAAGGGATTCGTTTATAATAAAATGGTTGCATTATAATTCGCCATGTTTAAGGCAGAATTTTTGTATGGCCTATCGCCGCCATTATATGAAGCAAAATTAAAAACATCAAAATATATTTTAAAATGTTATTTTTGAAAACTATTTTGTGATAAGATTCCCACATAACAGTAATAAAGTGTTTAATTAAATTAAAAACAAAAATTTTTGAAAATTTTATTTTATTTTATTGTTTAAATTTATACGTAAACCTTAATCGAAATTAAAGCGCTTTAATTTTTTGCCAAATACATACCGATAATCTACCAGTAAAATTTTCGGCGCAACAAGAATTGTCCCTACTCTTCAAACCCTATTAATGATTTTTTATATTACATATTTGTTGTACCTTCTGGCTCTACCAGCCATTTTCATTGTCCAGTAAAGTCTCCTTTTTAACAATCCACATCCTCTAGATTCATTTTACGACACGCTTAAAATATAATTTGCTCCTAATATTCTTCGGTAAAAAATAAAATACTCTTTTACCTCGCTAAATGATCAAATGTTTTTATTGTTCTGTTTCTTAGATGTGACCACGTAATACACAATAAAACTGGTTTTATAATAGTTACATGACGCTGTGTAAAATAGTTGCATAAGAGTTGTATACCTTTTTTATAGAACTTCTATACTACAAAACTGTTGTATAAAAATGGGCCTTTTTGGTTGTACAGCTATCATATTACGGTCTTATAGCACGTTATATGAATTGAGATATCCTATAAAAATGATCACATAGCTGTTTATACAACCTTTATAAAATAAAATTTCTTACTTGGGAAGAAACGGAGCGTTGCATTTGATTTCAGCTATCTAGTTTTTTTTACAGTATTATACATTTATAGTTTAGTTCTAATTCTGTAATAATAAAAAAAATGTTTTAAAGGTTTACCTTTTTGTTATCGTTGAGTATTTTACACTGCATCTTTTAGTTTTTATTATTTTAACAAAAGGTACAGCAAAGCCACCTAGATTGTATCAAATAATAAAGATCTACTGACGCAAAATCATTAAAATTAGAATATCTAGGAAAATCTTTGTATAAGGTACATACAGTAGTTATTGTAAATTGCAGGGTAAATTACAATTTAGGTAGCTGCTCTTGAAATTTAAAATTTATTTTTCATTTTCACAAAATGTAAAATATATCAAAATCCTTACATTTTAGGCATATATTTCTTTAATGAAATTCACTTTTATTTTGTTCATAGAATCCGAAAATTTATTAATATGTAAGGCGTTCCATTATAAAAACCCTAACTTTGATGCCTAACTTTTTTTGGGACACCCTGTAGACACCCTATACATATTTTTTTATAAAATTCTTTCAATTAGTACGCCACCCTGTATTTTATTTTTTTAACCTTACATAATATTTGCACGTTTCTATAAAAAAAATATGAACATCCTGAAAATTATTTATTAATTAAAACTTAATACAATTTAGAAGTTCTCTTTTAATACAATTCAGAAGAATCTCCCGTTAAAAAGTTTTATAACAGATTATTATTACATTGTAATTAAGTAAATAGTATAATAAATACTAGTTAGTAGTCTACAAGTTATTAAACTTTATTATCGAAGATAGATAACTTTACTTGATAATACCTTATATTTTTTTCTTATAGGTTCTTATAGGACTTGAAACTGGCTATATACCGCCAAATTTGCATTACAATACTCCAAGAGAAGGTATAAAGTCATTAGTGGATGGTATGATTAAAGTAGTTGCAGACAAAACCGAATTTAAGGATGACAGGGGATTAATAGGTACGTCTCGTCGGGGATCATCCAATAAACTTTCTATTATCCGAGTTGTATATATAAAATTGGCAGACACAAATATGTAATTCAAATGACACAACTTTAAATCAAATTTAACCAGTAATATGAGCTACCCGATCATAATAACTGAAATCGAAAATCGAAAAATTATCGAAATCTGAAATAAACTTATTTAGGAATCAACAGCTTCGGTTTCGGTGGCGGAAACTGCCACGTACTCTTAAGACATAATCCCAAGAAGAAAGTAAACCAAGGAAAACCTCTGGATAATATTCCTAGATTGATTTGTGTCAGTGGAAGGACACCTGATGCGGTCAACATGCTTTTGGATAGCGTCATAGAAAATAAACTTGATGTAGAGCATATCAGATTGCTACAAGACATTTTTAGGTAATTCTATTCATTCCACTTATAGTTTGGTTATTCTAAAATGCACATACTGATAAATGAGAGGGAATTAATAAATTAATAGTTAGGAGGTTACTAAAATTATTATTATGCTAGATATGTATATTGAGTCTCTTTTGTGAACACACAGTATGATCTACATAAGTTGTATCTTACTAAATATAAGTTGTGTCATTCATGTCATCCGTTGTTTATAATTTTTAACAATCACAAATATGAATAATGGTGATTAGGCTATTTTAGGTTGTTAGGGTTTAGGATCCTGTTTGTTCCCTCGCTCGAAGGCCTTGGACCCATTGCAATACCCCAAACCCTTATTGTACCAAATCTTCCTCCCATTCTTTCTTTGCGTTAAAGCATTTCCAGCCCTTTGAAAAGTTCACGATGTTGCTGATATTGGCTTCTGCTGCTTTCTCAAGTCCCTCCAAAAAACCTTTCCCTAAAGTTTTAAAGCATTGGTATTCCAGTGCCGGACGCATATTACTATATAGCCGTCAATCGCTCTATCCGACCGCAGCCGAGTGGGGTGGTCTAAACAACATACTATTCATTCGGGACCGATTTCTGTACGTCGGTTATATAGACAAGGAAATGTGCACATACAGCATTTTACTACATTCTACAAAATATTTTTATTTGAATAAAAATAAGGTGACTGCCAAGACGGACACATAAAAAAACAAATTCACATTCTAATTTTACATTGTAAGATATTATAAATAATAATACTTAATCCTAGTTGAAACAATGGGGAATAGAAGAAATGACGCCATTTGGTTTATGCTCTGTCAAATGAGAAAATTTTAGTGTCATATTAATAAATTGGCAGAAAATGGGCTACTCTGAACAAGAAAAACTCGATATGATTGAATTATTTTATTTAAATGAAAGAAATGCTTCAAGAGCTCTAAGAAAATATAACGAAAATTTCCATATAGGATAACGTCTAGCCGTGAGTTTTTTTGTTCAGAATAACCCATTTTCTGCCAATTTATTAATGACACTAACATTTTCTCATTTGACAGAGCATAAACCAAATGGCGTCATTTCTTCTATTCTCCATTATTTCTTGTTCATGGCCAACTATGCACATTAATTTGCCAGTTATATATTTTGAAAACGGCTGGATAAAATATAACAAAAGTATATA